ATGATGGTGGCCTACATATTATGAGGTCATATGCTGATTTTGTAGTACTCATAAACCCCCGTCTTACAGATCGTACAAAGTGCTGAATTCCTTCACATACTCACTTGCATACGAATTTGGTTTTAGCAGGGGCCCCAAGTGAATTCAGCTGAATCTCTCGTTCATGATATTTCACTTCGCACGAATGTATTGCACCAATTCCTTTCAAGTGAAACATGAAGTTGACAAGAACTCTAGGATTATGCCCTCCTGATGAGCCCCAAGAATAATGAAACCGGTCTTGGGGTGTCAAGGGGTTTTCAGCAACCTTGTGGGTAATAAGTGGATTTTCTCATTTATTCAAGAATGACCAAGCACAACGTGCTAGTGAAGACGTACTAGTGAAAGCATCAGCGCCCTTCACTGTTAATTTGTTTCTAAGCGTACACGGACAAAATGGATATAAGCCATTAGACAAGAAAGCAGACATCTCAGTTGCACAGCGTTTTTGAAAAGCGAATATAATCAAGCGTCCCCTTGAACATTTCCGGAAGTTCTTTGATTATTAAACAATAATGAACGCAAAAGAGTCCCATAATCTTCATGCCAACTGTCACCTTACATCAGAGGCGACACGGATCTTGGACACCAGAAAAGACGTTACTCATGTGCATCATCAGTAGTTCCTTACCGTCGCCGTTCCTTACCCCCCTATTCAAAAGTTCCCGTGCGCACCACAGATGTTTGATTCGTCTTAGTTATGTCAGCTTCAGTCTCTGGTCCACTCGGTACCTTCTCGGATGTATCATGCCATTTTTTGTTGCTGAGTGTTGCTTACTCTTCCTGATCCTCGACCTTCCTTAATTGTGTAAATGTTCCCTTGTTAGTCGGTAACGACAAACGGGCGTTGCCACCAACCATACAACTTCGGTGACCCTTTACTGCTGCATCCAGGGTTCTGATGATCCTTCCATTTAACGTTCTCGTCTGTCGGGAGTAGTAGTGTTTTCTAACCTGTTTGGTCGTTTCCTGAAAAACAGTTAAGATTTCTCGCTCTATTCCTTTATCTCCTAGCTCTTCTGGGGTAGTCACGTTGTTGGACACAACTCAGTTTCTCAATCAACTTGAAGGCGTAAATATCGACAGTAAAACAACATAAATAAGGGCTTGCCCGCGGTTGACTGCATCGACGCACAAAGCCAAAAATGACCACCGGCAAATTCACTTACTAGTCACCTTTGGCTGCCAGGCACTCCTTAGTAGTTTAGTTATTGCGTTAAGCCATTTGTTTTCAGGTGTTAACGTACCGTCCCTAGCTGCATGATACCCATGTGCTGAAAGCAGCTCTTGAACTCCTCACTGTCATAGCACGAGCCCTGATTCGCTAGGATCATTTTGGTACCTCGTGATTGGCCACGATATGATGCATCAAGACCCCACTAATGGCCGTTATTCGTTGATTTGGCACGGCTGTCGCCTCAACCCACCGCGACAGGTGTTCTGTGATCGTTGGCTTGTTTGCTGAGCCGGGCAATCTGATTGCAAACGTTTCAGCACCAATCGAGGTGACAGCATCAGTGCGTTATTGGGGAGCGTAGTAGTGCGTATTGGTGGGTTGATGGTTGTGCCATTATCATTATCATTATCACAACATATTGATTCCTACTAGATGTAACCGGAAAGAAACCAGTGACATCAACGGACCAGAACTCTCTGATCATTGATACATGGATGATTCCCATGGAGCTGCCGCTGTTACATCCCCTTCAATCAGTTGGCAACGCTTCGGTGCCACATGCTCACATGGCTCACTTCCCATCCCAGGTCAGTAGGCCATCTGCCAAGGGAAGTCGTGTGTTTTGGTAAACTCTGTGAGTGCGATCTCGTGAAATTCGACGATCAGCTTAAGTACCAAGACGCAAGGTATCACAAGCAGCACGATATTTAAATCGTTGACGTTCCAGGATATCACGCCAGCTTCACTCAGGCTCAACCCACAGAAGTACTCCTGGAATGTCTTCAGTCCTCTGCCCCCCTCCACGTTCTCAGTACCCCTTTCGTCCAGCAAGGTGGTTTCGGCCTTCCGTATACGGGATCCCGTCGCTGTAATCGCACCAGCCTTCCTGGGTTCATTTTGACGATAAGGTTTTTGGCGCCAATCGTGATCCTCGGAGCCTCAGCTTCAGCCTCTGGTCTTGACAGCCAATCGGCCAGGTGGTTCCCGTTCTTCGACACGTGCCGAATCGTGAAATCGCACTGCTGTAGTCAGAGGACCCAGTGAGCGACCTTGCCCACATGAATCTCCGGTGGTTCTGATCCAGTCAAGGAGTTTGCCTTCGGGTGCATCTTGAAAACCTTGTCTCAGCAAGTATGGCCACCATTTATTCAGGGCTCAGACAATCAGTTAACGTTCCTTTGGAGCGGTTGAATACTTGTGTTCAGCGTTGTTGCGGGCATGATTTACATACTCAATTAACCCATCTTTCTGCCTTAGGGCTGCACTGGAACCCTGGTTACTAGCGCTCGTCGTGATAGTAAACATCTCTCCGACATTAGATCGTTTGACGGTCAAGTGATGATCCAGGGTCCGTGCCTTGTCAATTTCGAAGGCCTCATGCACCTTACTTATCTATTCGAACGTTCTATTTTGCCATAGCAAGTCGTACGGTGAAGCAGCAGTTTTGATGGAATCCTGATAAACCGGCGTATACTGCTCGTCAGAGGAACTGCCGCAGATGAATGCACTATATGATCGCATCTTTCTCACCCAATTTATGCCCCAGTTATTTTCACCGGACTTCGAGCTAGCTGTGTATTGGCTACATTGATCCGCACACCAGCTTCTCAAATAGGCTTCAACAAGGCTTTCATTTACACTGAATGTTCTGATTCCGAAACGCCATACATAACGACATCGTCCCCGTGCACGGCAACAATCTGTAGACTCTTCGGCTAAAGAGAAATTAAGCGCCGGGAAGTGGATGGTGCCTCTAACAAGCTACAGGCTTACTTCTAAGTTGACATTGGGTGCCGCCAACTGTTAACGCCGTTTTCTCCCAGTTCTGTGACTTGATATCTAGCTGTTAATATGCGGGACGCAAGTGAAACTCCGTAAAATATCGGGATCACTGGAGCGAACAGATAATTTCCTTAACCAGAAGGACTCCTACAATCCAATCAAGGGTCAGTTCATTCAGGAGGTGGAATTCCACTCGAAGTCGGATTTCCAGTTCGTCTTCTTTACAAGTACAACTGGGGAGTTACATGCACTCTCTGCTTCCTCGACGACTATATTTTCTTGCATTTCTTGAAACTGTTGGTGGACCCTCCCCCGTAGATGGAGCGGTATCTGATGGGGGCTGTTAGGTTATGAAACATTCAGAAGAGATGGGATTCCGCGGGCAAACGCCAAACGGATCTACGTTGCATGCGAACAGTTTGGAGTACTCCTCGACCATAGACTGTACCGACGGGACATTACAACACGGAAGCTTTCGGACTCACAGTTCGCTCACGGCAGCGCTTGGGTTACCTTCAAGCTTGACTGAACCATACTATGTCACCAGTTTGTCCCGCATTAAGTCCATCACAGATTTTATGACTTTGAGGAAGTCTGCTCCCGAAGTTGTCAGCTCTGTGTCTTAGCTGACCAGGAACTTGTGCTACACAGACTTGTCACCTAGGTGCATTAAGTGCATTGAAGAGCCCTCACTTTTCAGTCGGTATCTACAGGCTGCCCTCAAGGCTAGCGCGCATACGGCTTCATTCCCTCTCTGCCTCAGTGACCCCATGCCCTCCTACCGATTAATTATAAATCCACCCTCCCATCTATCTCAATGAAGCCCTGTATCGCAGTTCGTCACAGCATTAACTGCAAGTTACCCGGAAAAGGCAACTAGGCTAAACAGTTATTACTAAAAGATGGCCGGGTGCGCGACATTATTGCTTTCATGGGGCCAGTAATGCCATTCGAACGTGCCTCCGCGTCTTCGTTTTCATGGCGGCAACCTGCTCGGTTAGTCAGTCCACTTTTCCTCAGGTTCTCCACTGGTGCCCCTTTCTGCCTGTCCTGTACTGCAATGTAGCTACATGAACCAGATCCTCCATGCCTAACTGACCGGTTGCTTACGCCAACCGTAAGTGGGCACTAAGCGCCGAGTGTACACCTTCGACGAGCTGGTCTAAAAGCAACAGCTGGCGCGACACTCCTTCAATCTCGGTCAGCCAGTCATCCGGAAATAAGATTCCAGTGAATTGTGATGCGTGCGCACCAAAAGTTCAACTCATCGACCAGATCGAATCACGTCCAAACAAAAAGCTAACGGGTGTGCCGTCTCAGTGCGTCTGCTGTACTCAAGACGCAACCACTTCTGGGAGCGAAGGACGTGATAAATCTGAATCCGTAGAACGGTGTTTTTATTAGGACGTCTCTAATAAGGTTATAAATAAGCAAATCTCGGAGACCTCTTAGGTTCAGGATGTTTATGTTCACACAAAAGATTGGTTGCCAAATCGTTTTCTCAAAGGGATTTTCATTCCAGAGGATAGTCATCACCATAGACAGCAACATCAATGCTGACACTTAATTCGCCTAGCAACCGAAATGAGGTTAAATTCAGAACAGGAGATTGTCAACCACACGTAATGTTTTTTGTCTTATCTGAGTGTGGACGCACTGTGTTCACTCTCAGGTACTGTGGAACGGTTAAGAATTTAAAGTGACTGATAAAACTGAACTACAAAATTTCCCATACAGAGGATATGCTATTTTCACAGTGGACAAATCTGGAATCCTGATAAAAAAATATTCGCTCCTATAAGTGATACGACTGGATACTGCAAAGTCAGTAAATAGATTGTTTGGTCGGTTGCACCATTCAGAACCGAAAACGTCACAAATACTGATGCCCTCTTTTGTCAATAACTATTTGTCTAATTTCCCCTCTGAATAGCCGAATTCTGGCGTAGATACCAAACGGGGCTGCACTCGAAAACTCGAGAGCCTCTCAAAACTAATGGTATTAATACAGTGATTTCGAAAAAAGTTTGTCACGCACCGTAATAAGTAAGTTGAAGGCGGACTGTTGGGCGTATACATCGGAACTCGCTTCGTCCGAAGCATGAGGATCCGGATTATTGACCAGATTGGTTGAATTTGATTGAACACCTTCAGGTAATAGCGGTGACCTTTGATCGACGGAGCGCCGCAAGCGAAGTTCACCTGTTTGTGAATCTAGCGAGAATAGGTCATGGTGTACCCCCTGCCGATCACCTTTCAAAGTGTACCGTACCCGGCCGTTGTCTTCGCTATCCCTGTCAAATGCTTGTACTGTTGTCAAGGGAAGACCAGGTCTGAAATATAAGTGGGAGTTTCTCAAGGATAGGATACGAAGCTGATTTAATTAACACATATGACTCCTGATGTATGCTTATCTACAATGCTTTTTTGTTCGGGAGAGAACTCTTGCTTTTATTAGAATGGTCGAATACACTCCGCACATGTCAAATTCATTCACATGATTGATCAATGATTGCGAACTATATTGACTGTCATGGAAAAGAAATACGTAAATACACATCGAAGTGAGACATTTCATCACAGCTCTTTGAGGAGGTTTCTAAAATCCTCAGGGACGGCTTTTGCCCAGAACTGGTTAGGAAATATTGATTAAAATCACAGAGTGACCTGCGGTGAAATCTGTCCTGCTGGAAACTGCCCAGCTGAGAATATTTTCGGAATCCAAACAATTTAGTTTCTGACCAAATGTACGGAAATTTCCAGCTCATTTCGAGAGAGGATTCTACATCCAAGCCTCTGTAAGTGAAATGAAATCGAAGGTGTACTCCATAAAACTCTGAAGAGAAAGATATTTTTGAAAAGGTTTTACTTTAGTTGCGTGGTAAATCAGATATAAAAGTTTATCTGGTAACCACTGTACTCACAACATGTTGGTTTAGGGATGGCTCGAATCCATTTATTACCAAGCGTGTCGATCATCTCGACAGCCACCCGAACAATTACTGTTGGAGGATTTGGGGATATAGCTACGGATGGAACTTCCAAAATGACACATATGTGACAATACGGATCGATATCGTGCACAGCAATTCACCATAAGCTCTTACTCAGTTGATCGCGGCACATAGACTGTATTGTTTCCAGAAGATGGAAAAGTGAAAGTCGGAGCATTGTCGTTAACATCCAGAATACGGATAAGCACTGTGGACGTCGCACTCAGACGGGGCTGCCCATGGTCCTCAGCCTTGACCACGAGATCGTACGCTGGAAAGGATTCTCGATCAAGCTTAGCCTGTCCAAGAAATATGCGGCCATCTTTTGCGACAAGGAATCTGTTGATATAGCAGAACAATCGAGAGCAGAATCAATTTTTGAGGCCGTCCTGGTACACTTCTATCAGGTTCACACTAGTCGATCACTAGGAGTACTTCGGAAGATCATCGTTAAAACTTTTATCAACTTTTATCGACCCATTTACAGAGTACTACTGAAATGCAATTTTTAAGGCACCAAGCTACATCACAAGTTATCATAATGTTCCCTGTTCACTGCCTAAAAAACTCGCAGTGCCTTTTCCATTTTTATAGAAAACGATTTCAGAGGCAAATAGTGTGTACACAGAGTGACCAAGGTCACCCAAACTGAAGTGGCGACATCTATGTCAGGATAGCATTCCAAAATCGGTCTCTAACATTTTATTCTCCAATCCCTTGGGCTCATGAATGACCACGGATAGTATCCTCTCGAGCGCACCACGGAAAGTTACACTTCTTGGAGTTATCTTTCATCACCCTTTGTGTTTTGTACTCATATCAACTGGTGAAGCCGAAATCTCTATATCTACTAACTGAAGACCCAAACAACTAATCAGTATTGAGCATCTTAAGTATGTGGACAAGATCGTACCATTTCGCTCAGTCTCTTCGCGATATCTCGAATATCGTACCAACTGAAACATGAGACGGCCTGGTGCAGCACATTCAGTTGCTTAGAAACACCATAAAAGAGAGATTCAGCTGGGTTTTAGGTGAATCTCTCGAAAAAGCAACTTTGTGAGTGTATTAGAAAATTTCATTGTTGTGCCTTCGGTGGTTTGGTCTAAATGGTGTCTTTGTTGGAACCAGCTGAACCCGTCCGAAGTTCGTATGAAGTATGAATGGACAAACGCATATAAATGTGCTCCAGCCTTCAAACATTTTCACTCTACAGTGGTTACCTGTTGTCAATTCAACCTGTCTTTTAGTGACCATGCCGAAGTTTCGATTGCCTATTAGTAATCGCCTTAGTATAGCGTCGTCTTGATGTACACCAACTCCCAACACCGGCCAAAGTAGCATCATTTTGTTCGCAGAACCTTCTTTAGGCTCTTCATTCCTTCGAAGTGTTCTAGTTCTCTGTTCTAAGTGGTGTCGCTCTTTTTTTAGGTAAACGGGATCATCAGCAAGAATTCTGAAACGTTCAATTCGTCGCTATCTATGAGCATGTTGCACGCATATAGTGCGCGTTAGACTCGAGGAAACTACAATTTTCAAATGTCATGTGGTTCTGATCCGCAGTGTCTCAAAGCAGCTTGAGCGAATGTGCGCGTCTAGTATGGCCCAGCTTAGGTTTCTGCTTACGAATCATGCACGTGAAATATAGCCCTACACCGAAAAAATTCACGCTGGATCATAGTTGAATGCGCTTTGGTACATGTCTAAGCGTGATTCAGCATCGATTCAATGTAATGAATTATTCCCGTATCCAACGAATTAACTTTGAAAGTCCTAGCCTGGATTGTGCCTTGTGTTGTTCTAGTGGCAATGATTGCATTAGTGACGTCGAAATTAACGGATTTCGAATCCAAATCAGCGGTTATTTCCTTCACTCGATTAGTCAGGATCCACACTCCGTGCATGAGATGACGAACGCCCAAAATATACTTTCAATTCAAGAGGCAATGCCACTTTCTCCCGGGACGCAGTTTGCCTTTCGTAAAGCAAACACTTTGGACCGGACCACTTAGTATAATTCTAAGATGGACACAGTTATTGGGCGGATCCTACCCTAGTTAGCTTCAAATCGCTTAGTGGGATGTGTCCTCATTATGACTAAATCATGTTTATTCCTGTCCACACTTTCCGTTCCACTCAAGTCGCCATCACCTACATAATGTGCCTAGGCGGTTGTGGTCACAGAATGACCCAACGCGCTGATTGGCTCCTTTCATGATTCGGCCAGTCTATTTTTCGGTTTTACTCTGACCCATTAACAGACAGTCTGTTCCCATCGTGATACGTTGTGTCCATGGGACAGATATGAATGTCCCCGTCCTTAAATAATCCTACATTTACATACACATTTTTTCGTCTAGACATTAGACACTGCTTGTATGGTTGCTGAACACTCCTCGAAAGCCCACGGTCGGTTCCGTCCTTCTTGAGACTCACCAGGTAGGCGCAGCCTTACATCTAATGTCACTTGATCATGAATTTGGTTTTTAGCAGGAGAGCCAACTAAATCCAGCTGAGTCTCTCGTTTACGCTGGTGACCTCAACTGAACGTGCCGCACCAGGCCACCTCGTGTTTCATTTGGTACGATATTCGAGATATCTTTGTTGTCTAGACTTAACGCAATGCTTATTTGGTTCGTCCAGGCCTGACGCAAATGCAGTTACGGCCGATCCTGCTCCTCAAGTAGCTTTGAGAAACTGTCCGGAAACAACACGGTCATTCAGCAGAATTCACAAACTTTATAAGTATTTGTTGATGATATACGTAGCGCACACCGCCCACATTATACTCGAAGGAATTGCGTTTTCCTCTTCCCTTAGAAGTTAGGCTTGGTACCAGAACCCAGTACAAGTCTAACTCACGTGTAGAGTGTCTCCACTTGCCTGGTCCAGCTTCCATTGCCTTGCCCAGCATTGGAACTGGACGTCATAACTTCCAATGGATGGGCTAAACACTGAACCAGTGAAAAGCTCACTTCTGCATTTCGACCAGCGTCACGATCCGATGCTGTCAGTTGGCCAATTGGAGCAGCTGCGTAAGAAGGCATACAGCAAACTTTATGAATAATGAAATCCGAATTTTTAGAACAGTGCAGAAAGATGGGATCCTCCCGTAGTTTGCCCTGGCCGCTTTAATTGCAGTGTTCATTGGAAAGTGTTTTAGATGATACAATCTTACACAGCGATCATCCATAGTATGCTGAAATCCTGAGTGTTTGGTTTTCACTGCTAGTCAGTTGTGTGAAAAATTTCGTCTCGTGTTAAAAAGAATCCAAAGACATTGTAACTTACATAGTCCGTACGCAAAGTCAAGGTCTGTCTCTTTGGTTCTGGGCGTTAATACTATATTGAAACATCAGGTGATTGAATTCTGTTACATCCACCGGACCAGTTGGGTGAGAAACGTGGTGGGTTGCTGTTTTCGGATTAGGATAAGTCGACCTAAAGTCAGATGTTTCTTCGCCAGAAATCAATGGAAAACCGTTATTTACTACTCTAGCTTTTTTTTCGCTTACTAAGGCGAACTACTGATTGTAGATGAACAGAATTCATTGAGATGAAACACAAATGAGGGTAAAACCCATTTGACATGAAATGGAGGTTCATATGAATTTAACACTAGCCTTTTCTAAGTAGTTCGTTCTCACTAACAGCAAAGGATAGTTCTAAATCGGACTCAAGACCCAAATCCAATGCCTTATGTAGCCTTAAAAAGTCTGTTCGGATACTAATTTTCTGTTATCTGTATATTTCTTGATGAGCAAGGCTCATCACACCTCATGCAGTGATTCGCATGTTGATGTGGGCTGTCATATTTTACACTTTATGTGGGCAACACTGATCACTTTTTGGCAATTAGAGCAAAGAAAACGGTTTCAAATATGGCATGTTTGCATAAGCTTGCTTCTGTTGCCGAGCTTTTCTGCCCCGTGTTTCTCTATTCTCAAGTGGTTTCAACAGCAATAAGCACCAGAACTTCTTTAGGTAGAGTTTTGTCTTTGGAGGGACACTTTAGACATGACACTCTAAAACTTATAGGGTTTCTGCAAACTCTACGGCAAAGTACTGCCCGCTTTCCCTTTCAAACGGTTCATCAGGTAGGCGTATCTCATGAGTTATCATCAATTTTGTATGTAATGCGTGGAATGTGCTTATTTGAAATCTAGGTTGGCGTTGGCAGGAGGTATAACTAGATCCTAGCTGATTCCCCCGTTCATGATACCCCTCAGTCGAGTACAACATAGGGTCAGTGGACGTCCGTGGAATAGAGCCCCTTCGTGAACCCAAAAAGAAAAAGAACGACAAAAACTATCGGAGAATGATCATCCAGCTTTTATGTGGTATGTCAGGAAGTTATTCGATACCACGAAATATTAATGAAATATAAAGTTGCTTTCGTACAGCACATTCAGTGAATGAATAACACAAACAAAGGATTCAGTCGTAATCCATTCAAAGCTCCTGTCAACAACCACCTAAGTTGCAAACAAGTGGACTTTCATGCGGTTACGTTACACACCACTAATAGGACGATTCCCCATCCGATCCCATAATTCGTCTTCGGTTGTTTCCCACTAAGGCTCAGACGACTTTTTATTTTCTCAACCTCCGCATTTATGTTATATTGCACGACATATATCTGCACGGGTGGTTCACAACTGAGCAATCCGAATCAACTTTTTACATCCAAGACCACGTTTGGCTCACCATTTAAGAGCACAAGGTATTTCCTGTGGCGTATTGTAGCGTGTAAAACCCGCTTGTAAATTTCCAACCCTAACTATTTTGCTTTGCACGGCTGACTTTACTTACAGGACAAATCCTAACTGAATGTTCTGACTCATCCCACACTACCAGAAAACGCGGATGTGCCCTTCGTGTGATCATCCTTCCAGGAGTCATCGTTAACCTGCAAGTTTTTGACATACGAGGACTTACCTCGTTTTTCGACGGACTGTCCTGAGGAATATGCATGCTAACCCGGGTTCCTGTTTTGTCCAATCTAATCCCTCAGCCTAGATAGCCTGTTGGTCCCGCAGGCGAACCGATCGCATCACTCAAAGCGAGAAATTCCTGGTATTGGCAAATGTTATTAGTCAGGGCCGTTCAACATGCGTTGATGGAGTAGTGGTAACACGTTTTTGTCCCACGTCAGAGACCCAGTGTGCGAATTTCGGGAAGACAAACGATGTGATGTTGGTGGGTTCCTGGAAGGACGGAACTAGAGATCGGTGTTTTCTGACTTTATTATGAACGGAGAAGACTTATCTCGCTTAGATAGTGAAATATCCGTTTGTATAATACAGATGGAATATAGAGGTGGTAAAGGGGGAGGTCGTTACCGTCTAAAATGGGGAATATGAGGGAATTATACCCTGGAAAACGTAAGTACCCAGTAGAATTTGCACCTGAAGTCAGTTCGAACAATATTCGAAGTGTACTCCAATATACTCACACGCTGCGTGATTTTCTTTGATTTCGAACTCGACCCTCTCCGTAATGACCGGCGGGTTGTCATTGACATCGGTCACGGATACCAAGACATCTGCTGATGAATTGAGCGGCGGTGTACCTTGATCAACCGCGTGGATCCGACAATGAAGTGACGATTTGAGCTCACGATCCATAGGACGCCTGACGGAGATCTCGCCGTTGTTTTCGTTAACCGCAAAATAGTCCATATCCGGTCCGGAGAGCCAATAAGTCAGCTTGGCATTTCTACCTGGTGATCCGTACCAAAATAGCGAACAACAAGAAAGATACGTTGTTGAATGTTCAATATATGATATAATGTGCTTGTGCAAAGGTCCGTGAATGCGAATAAGGCGAGGATATTAACGGCGACTTCTCTGGACAAACTTCGCTGTTCAACGAACGAACCTCTTGGTTTTGGGTTTGATGTCACCTGTTGAATCACAGGCACCAAAGGTTCCCGTTCTTCAGAAACATAGGTAAACTTGAAAAAGATGAATTAATTTAGGCTGCGATTCGTATTCTAAGGATGAAACGGACAGCGAGACGTTTTATGGTGTCACCGATCACCTTAAATCTTTGTTGACTCTTGTGACCAAAAGCGAGCACCTGGAATTAAAAATTCGGACGACGGTGATGTGTAGTGGACACTAATTGCTTTCATACTGATATTTTCTCTGAGACGAAATAAACAACAAATGAGAATACAAGACATGAAAAGTCAGTTCTAGGTTTGATACCGCAACAAGCGAGGTATCTCTATGGGATTGTGTTTCAAATCTCTCGCATGCTTAAATACTAAATCAGGGCAAACAATTGTCAGCAGCTGGTGAAGGGTAACGAAATTCCATTCATCATGTACCGCCATGCGATACCACAACAACTACGCTGCACTTTGCAACAATGCAGTGACCTTGTTGTATAGACTGATGATGTTCCCTCTGTAATTAAATTGCTTAACGTGACAGAAAAACCAGTGAGCGTTTTCGGTGCCTGATAATTCTGTTTTCCTTGTTTTTACGTGCATTACAATTGAAATGTAACAACTCTTACTGTGAAGCTTTCCACCTCACGAAATGAGGGATTAAATAAAGCAAAAATTCATAAATGGCTTGGATTATCTCTAGACAGATTATTGATTTGAGTGTTTCCACTGTTATTCTATACTTAATGTCATCCTGCAGGCAGCCAAGCAGTTTTCACACGAAATTTCACCCAATCGCTGATCAACTCACCTTCATCAAAGTCTGTTGCGTTTACCGTGAACAAGATGCTGCCAACGAGTACATCTTCTCGAACGTTCATGTAGAATCTTTCCCTCGGAAACTTTGGTTCTACATCGTTCATATCTGTAATTCTCACTGCCACTGCGCCACTGGTGTTTCGTGGGGGTTGCCCGTAGTCTGAGCAGACAATCAAAACAGTGATTTGTGATATCGCCTCGCGGTCAAATACGGCAGCGGTTGTGAGTTTGTACCTTTGGTGAACAAAAGGAGTAAATGCGTCGGAGTGCCGTTCGAAGAGAACTGAAAGGAGGGAGCACTAAAACTGTGATAATATCAGTTAGCTGGCAGGCCCGGTGCAGTCCGATTTACGGAAGGGGCCTCAAAGCGCGCTTGCCAAACAACCATTTGCAGCACTCGCTTTTGTCATAAACCTGAACAAAGTGGGCATGTGGAGCATGAAATGGCCAATGAAACAAATCGAAAAATTAAGAAAACTCAAAAATCGTGTTCCTTAATCTAGGTAGTGGTAAATAACAGTAGTTTTAACAAAAATGCCTCATTTGTAAATATATTTGGTGTTAAGGGGAGACCTTACTGATATCCAGGTGAATCGCTCGTGTATGATTCAGTTGAGTCTCCTGTTAGTACGAGCTTAATTTCGAAATGGGTGTATTTTATCGATTGTGGAATATTTGGCGTTCAGGAAAGACATAGGTTTGACAGGGGCTCGGGGACGGCGTCAACGTACTGAGCTCCTAGATGAAACCGGTCGTGGGTTGTCGGAGAACTTCGAGCAACCTACTGATTGCTGCCAGGCCTGTTAGACTTGTGTTTCGATGTATATTGGAACATTTACTTAAAGTATCCGAGTTTTCACATATTTGCATCCAGTTGGTGCCACAGTCATACATTCAGGCCAGGGCACGTTATTACCTTCTGGGTAACAAATATATGTTGGTTGAGTTGCAATAGCAGCCAGAATTGTGTGCCGCCTGAAACGAACTTTGAAAGCTACTGAGACAAATCAAAAAGTTCTATCTAGAAAAGGTCGGTACTCGGCAAAACGCGAGTGGTAAGTACCGCAAACACTGAAGATATCATCTGAAAGCAATGGGAAGTCGGTCTAGATAGAGAAGTTGCCACTGAAGTGGTTAAAGCCCTTGAGTCTGCTACGCATCTTCGCTGATGAATGTAGCAGAAGTGAGACACCTGAAACACTGATAACCAATGGTGTTTGATTAAACAGTTCCCGAAACTGCTGCTCCTTGTAACACGGTTGCACATAGTCGACACGATACTCATGTGAGAATAAGTAGCCAAAATAACGTGGATGCAAGGCTATACAAAGTGAGGTAGTATAATTGCTCATTTCGTATGGCAAGTTGTTTTGCGCATCTCTAGACAAAGATCACTTTCCGCGTTCCAAAGGGGTAGCTGCGAACCACCAGTGAGAATTCATAATAAGGTTTTCAGTCTTCAGGAGCCGCTAAAATAAGAAGCTAAGTATTATGTGCGTGTCAAGTCGTGAATCAAAATGCAGGAAAGACGGTCCGTGATTGTCACGGGTTGATACCTTCTACAAGAAATGTCAGCTGATCCGCAAATAAAAAGATATCCAGTGGACGTCCAGACGACTTCTAATCATGAGAACAAAGAAGGTAGCGAACAAAGCTTGTTTTCTGTGATTGTTCATCTTAGCTAGTACATCACAAATTTATATGGTAGCAGAAATCACGTGTAAAAGGTTAAGATCAGGGTTACTGTCCTAGCCAGGTAAAGGCTCGGGAATTGTCTTGATGAATAAATCCGACTACATTGATAAGATGACCACCATCCTCTCAGACAGATCCAAATTTAGGAAAATAGAATCCGAGAAAGACAAGACGCATGTGATTGAAAAAGCGGTGTCCAAAATACTAAAACGCCTTAAACAATCCGGAAGCATTGACACCAAGACTTTCGAGGGTATCCGCCCCACTGGCACAACAATCCCTCGGCTCTACGGTCTCCCGGAAGTGCACAAACCCGGCCTACCCCTCAGGTCCATTCTCGATATGTCTAATTCTCCTTATCATACTTTGGCCAAATGGCTGGTCAGTCCGTTATAACCAATCAGGAGAGAAGTGTCGACACACACCTTAAGAGACCGTTTTGATTTCATCGATCAGATTAGACATTTGAAGGTTGATAAACACTCCATGTTCTCCCTGGACGTCGAGTCATTGTTTACCAACATACCACTTACCGAGACAATAGACTATGTTTGTGACTTGATTGAGTGCAACGGTAAGGATATTGGAGTTCCCACTTCGGATCTAAAGGAACTTCTGCTCCTTTTTACCTACAGTGTTCAGTTTACTTTCAACAATCAAATTTATCGACAGAAGGACGGGGTCGCGATGGGGTCTCCTCTAGGTCCCATATTGGCAGATTTTTTCATGACCAAGCTAGAGACTCAAAAATCAGATGCACTCATTGGACGGTTAAAATTATATCGCCGCTACGTGGACGACATTTTCGTTCTTGCCGATGAAACCATCAGCACAACAGACGTACTAAGCAGTTTCAATTCAGTCCATGCTAATATCAAGGTTACTATCGAATCAGAACAAAACGGCCAGTTAAGCTTCCTCGATGTCAATGTTAAAAAGAAGACCGATGGGACCATAGAACGCAAGGTCCACAGAAAGCAAACGTGGAAAGGTCAGTATACTCACTTTGATAGCTTCGTTCCGTTGCAACAAAAACGCAACCTAATTAGATGCCTGACCGAGAGAGCAATGAAGATATGCTCACCCGAATGCTTAGAAGAGGAACTAAAGTTCTTGGGACGCACATTCCTGCAGAACGGATATCCTGAAAGGTTCGTACTGAAGACTATGGAAGCCGTTAAACCCAAACCTACGGAATTTTCTGTTAGAAAGAAGCCCGTATACATGAGGCTTCCATTCAAAGGTGACTCGGTTGCTGAACTAATCACCAGAAGGCTTAGAAACTCCGTTGATACGACATACTTGGCCGCTAATCTATGTTTGAGCTTCAACTCCAGCCCCACTATCAGATTCTGCTTGAAAGACAAATTGCCACGTTCTACCACCAGCTTTTGTGTGTACCCATTCGTATGCTCGTGCCGAGCATCATACGTTGGTCGTACGACAAGGCATTTGTCGGACAGAATACGAGAACACAATCCCGTATCTCTGAGTGGTAGTGGAAAGAAACCAGGCTCAAGCGCGATTGCAGCACACTTGGCCGAAACCTGTCATATCATAGACAAGGAGCAAGCCTTCACCATCATATACCGGGTACCTCTGAACGGACCACGACTGGTACGATCCAAACTACTATCGATCGCAGAGGCGATAGGAATCCGACTGCTGGATCCACAACTTTGCATCCAAAAGAAACTTGTGCGACCTCTGAACTTGAACTGGCCTACGAAACATCTGGTCCCACAAGTCTGTCTGACATTGACGTCATGACCCATTGACCTACCCCTCACCCAACCCCCTTCCTTTGACTTCTATTTCTCTAAAGTGTAGCCCCGATCTTAACTTTTTCCACGTGATTTCTGCTACCATATAAATTTGTGATGTATTAGCCAAGATGAACAATCACAGAAAACAAGCTTTGTTCGCTACCTTCTCCGTTCTCATGACTACAATGGGTATATTTAGCCGCCTGAGACAATCCAAAGACCCATGCGTGCTAAAGGAACTTCAGAGGTATCTGAGGTACAGCGCGAAACTTGCGGAAGCCAGGACAAAGCTACGAATCCTCAATCAGTGTATACAACAGAATCAGTTTCCAACTTTTTATTCGCGAATACTACGCAGAAACCGAATCAATCCAACTGCCACTGCACTAAGCCGCCACACACGCAACGAATGTGACACGATACAAGAGAATATTCGGGAACTAGAACGTAAACAAGCCCAATATGCAGGGACACTAGAAACGCTGACGATATCCGATCGCTTAGACTTCAACGCATATGTTCGACTTATTGTTGCCAAACGGACGGACGCCAAGGAAAAGAAACTCGTCAACCAGCTTAATCCAGTGACACCATGCACCAAGTTCCCAACAAATCCCGAAAGGTACGTGCACAATTTTTCTTCGTTAACGCTAGACACCACCCTTTTGGAGGCGTTGTCACTAGGTCCAAAATTTTGTTGTCCCAGTCGTAGAAACTGTCAGCTCGAGCTTGAAGTCCAATTTGAGAATCTATATGACCAGCTATCCGTGCTAGTACCTTCCTCTGAACTGAGTGTAGAACAACTGAAATCGACGCTAGTCAATTCATGTTACAAGTACCTCAGCTACAAACCCAGACCCAAACGACTTTTAACAGAGGATCATTTCGAGGCTCTGAAACGCTTACAGCTAAACGACCAAGTTTTACTATCCAAGCCAGATAAAGGTTCGGGAATTGTCTTGATGAATAAATCCGACTACATTGATAAGATGACTACCATCCTCTCAGACAGATCCAAATTTAGGAAAATGGAATCCGAGAAAGACAAGACGCACGTGATTGAAAAAGCGGTGTCCAAAATACTAAGACGCCTCAAACAATCCGGAAGCATTGACACCAAGACTTTCGAGCGTATCCGCCCCACTGGCACAACAATCCCTCGGCTCTATGGTCTCCCGAAAGTGCACAAACCCGGCCTACCTCTCAGGCCCATCCTCGATATGTCTAATTCTCCTTATCATGCTCTGGCCAAATGGCTGGTCAGTCTGTTAGAACCAATCAGGAGAGAAGTGTCGACACACAGCTTAAGAGACAGTTTTGATTTCGTCGATCAGATTAGAGATTTGAAGGTTGATAAACACTCCATGTTCTCCCTGGACGTCGAGTCATTGTTTACCAACATACCACTCACCGAGACAATAGACTACGTTTGTGACTTGATTGAGTGCAACGGTAAGGATATTGGAATTCCTACTTCGGATCTTAAGGAACTCCTGCTCCTTTGTACCTACAATGTTCAGTTCACTTTCAACAATCAAATTTATCGACAGAAGGACGGGGTCGCGATGGGGTCTCCTCTAGGTCCCCTATTAGCAGATTTTTTCATGACCAAGCTAGAGACTCAAAAATTAGATGCACTCATTGGACGGTTAACATTATATCGCCGCTACGTAGACGACATATTCGTTCTTGCCGATGAAACCATCAGCACAACAGACGTACTAAGCAGTTTCAATTCAGTCCATGCTAATATCAAGGTTACTATCGAATTAGAACAAAACGGCCAGTTAAGCTTCCTCGATGTCAATGTTAAAAAGAAGACCGACGGGACCATAGAACGCAAGGTCCACAGAAAGCAAACGTGGAAAGGTCAGTATACTCACTTTGATAGCTTCGTTCCGTTGCAACAAAAACGCAACCTAATTAGATGCCTGACCGAGAGAGCAATGAAGATATGCTCACCCGAATGCTTAGAAGAGGAACTAAAGTTCTTGGGACGCACATTCCTGCAGAACGGATATCCTGAAAGGTTCGTACTGAAGACTATGGAAGCCGTTAAACCCAAACCTACGGAATTTTCTGTTAGAAAGAAGCCCGTATACATGAGGCTTCCATTCAAAGGTGACTCGGTTGCTGAACTAATCACCAGAAGGCTTAGAAACTCCGTGGATACGACATACTTGGCCGCTAATCTATGTTTGAGCTTCAACTCCAGCCCCACCATCAGATTCTGCTTGAAAGACAAATTGCCACGTTCTGCCGCCAGCTTTTGTGTGTACTCATTCGTATGGTCGTGCCGAGCATCAAACGTTGGTCGTACGACAAGGCATTTGTCGGACAGAATATGAGAACACAATCCCGTATCTCTGAGTGGTAGTGGAAAGAAACTAGGCTCAAGCGCGATTGCAGCACACTTGGCCGAAACCTGTCATGTCATAGACAAGGAGCAAGCCTTCACCATCATATACCGAGTACCTCTGAGCGGATCACGACTGGTACGATCCAGACTACTATCGATCGCAGAGGTGATAGGAATCCGACTGCTGGATCCACAACTTTGCATCCAAAGGAAACTTGTACGACCTCTGAACTTGAACTGGCCCACGAAACTGGTCCCACAAGTCTGTCTGACAATAACGTCACTTACTTGACTCCGTGAGCCATTGACCTACCCCTCACCCAACCCCCCTTCCTTTGACTTCTATTTCTATAAAGTGTGTAACCCCGATCTTAACCTTTTACACGTGATTTCTGCTACCATATAAATTTTTGACGTACTGGCTGAACAGAACAATCACAGAAAACAAGCTTTGTTCGCTACCTTCTTCATTCTCATGACTACAACGGGTATATTCAGCCGCCTGAGACATTAGGCAGATGACTACAACGGGTATATTCAGCCGCCTGAGACTTCAAATTAGGCAGACTGAAAGTGCTCTTGTGCACGAGCGGTCCCTCCAATAGCATTCGGTGTACTCAAACAACCTCCCAATTCAAAATACAATATCTGGCGGGAATTCATCAACACGTCCCGAAACGTTCCATTTTCAGTCGCCTGGCGGATCTATTTACCAACTAACTTATTCAGAAGTTGAAGTAATGTGTTAAAGGCGCAGTACTCTCAGGCCTTACCCCGGTAGTTTAAATAGCTCACACGGCGACTATTGGCAAAATGTTCCATTTTCCGTACCTAAGATTTAAACGAACGACAAACCTGCAGTTTTCCATCCAGAAAACGATATTTGTGCCGGTATGCCACTGAACATAATTCGGGATCATCAGTAAAAACCACCATCACCACTAAAAACGCTGCATACTTTTGACATTGTTTCAAGTTCGAGCGAGGCAGTTCCGTGCCATCGTAGTAGGTCTGTGTGAACCCGACCACTTAGGCTTGCTTGTACACAACTGTGCAGCTCTGTTTGTTTGTTCCATGATTGACACATGAGCTATGTTGTTGATATTAATCGCCTGGCTGGTTTTCACTGAGTGAGCACATTTGCTATTACTGATTAGGTGATGGTGCATTCAAGTTCGTCTGAACAGCCCTCCTTCGGTATCGGCCCTGTTATTCTGGTGAGCCTACACCAAAGGGGAGAAGCAGTAAAATCGAGTTTCGCTCTTATTAGAGCTCACCAGCAGTGGAAATCCTTGGCCGAACCGAGCATTGAACTTCGAATGTCCTACCTACGAGGCCAGCGTGTTACCCCTACTCCGCTAGCGTAAACATATTCGTCCGTTAAAGCGTGAAAATCCAGATGTTTCCAGTGTGCGATGGTGAAGTGGTAGAACCACGCTTGTCTCGCATTTCAGCTGCTCTAAGTTTTTGGCCAGACTGAGAATATGCACTGCTACCGAGCTTCTAATAAGAGCGAAACTCTATTCCAATGCTCCTCTTTTAGTGTGGACTCACCAGAATAATTTCGCCAGGACATGAGGGAGGCTTTTCAAGCGAGGGTGATGTGAACATGAATTATACAAATCCAGGAACCACCAACAATAGTGAGAATTATTCCCCAAACGTGACCTCTTTACATCCCGGGGAGCAGTGAAAAGTTGAGAAGGCAGACAGGACATAAACAGGTAATCAAAACTCCAAATCAATGGAGAATATCCTGGGGACATTGCTGAGAATAGATGTCCACAAAAGGTATACATGACATTACCCAAAATTATATAGAAGGGGCCTGAAATGATCCGCTACTGCAGTTAACATTAAACCCCTGTGATCGAAATGTTTGTGAATAACATTTCTTTTCAACTATGTTCAAATGAGGAAAAATCGGCTGTCTGATTCGCTCCTAAAAAGCAAATATAGATTTTTGCTTACAGCACAGCATTTTCGGTTTCCTTAAGCCTCTCTCCACCCTCAGTGATAGCGGACCGGAATAAGATTGACTTTCAGATAAACGAAAAAACTAAACAAGCGACTTACATGACAGAGAACGGAACTTGCATGTGTTGCAGTTTGAAAAACGCATTAGGGGGATCGGCGGAAATCAAAGCCTTGATTATTTTTGGGTCCGGTGACTGGAAATGCCAACGGCTGGGTTCTGCAAGTTGGCATGCGACGCGTCCGTTCTCTCCAGCATCTCGGTCGGTCACAGTGAACACGGCAACCAGTCGACCTGCTGGGTTTTCGTTCTCTGGCACGAGGGCATAGTTTGTCACGAAAGCCGGTTCGAATCGGATTTCCGGTGCATGATCATTTTCATCCAGCACGACAATTTCCACAACACATGTTGATGCCCGCGGAAGTTGACCACTATCCACGGCTTCAACGGTCAAAATAATCTGCACGCAACGTAGTGTCACCCATGTGAGGAAGAAAAGCCGAGAAGGAAAATATTTTATGGTCACGGGGGAGAGGCGGTTAGAAAAAACTTTCTGGTTTTAATGCCAAAAACTAGTTTTTTATGCGAAAGATCGGAGGACGAAGTTGCTTGTTCGAGAACTCCGTTTTTCTTCACTTATCTATTCGTTTTCGTGGGAATATTACTCGTAAATTCATCGTTATTTATCATTTGGACGGATAAATATTCTGTGTGCTAGAATGCAATAAATGTACAACCACCCAACAATTTCGCTGGATATCCAATTATTTTTTCAACTTTAGATGTCGCGTCGAAAACGGTAGAATTGCTTCCTTCCAACGGTACAAGTGGAGATAATAACACCAACGGCATACGGGCTCCAAAATGAACGGAACTTGGAGGTCAGCTAAGACTTGTGACGCCGTATCAGACACTACATTTCATACACATTGTCATGGGAGAGGGATATCATCTGAACAGATTCAACGGAACGGATAGATGAACACTACTCTCAATGACAATGTAACATGTAAGACACCGTCATCAGCACGTGTGTAAATTTAATCGAATTTACCTACTTTGGCTTTATAACTATTTAGGGGCTGGAATTCGTGATGGCTCTGTGGAGACCAACCTAATGCGAGCACATTCCAGAGAGCCAAAATAATACCGTGATTGGTTTAAATGTCTCAATAACACCTCCTAACTCTTATTTTCCCTACTAACGTTGGTCGCATGGCTAAAATGATGTGATTCCTGTGAGTTGCCCACTCCCCTAATTGAACGAACGTACTGCTGCCATGTGTTTCTTCTAAACAAACATTTCCAGTTAAGACGTCCGATTGAGAAACATACCCGAAAATCGGGAATAGATCCGCATGACCCTGCTCCCGGTTTCGTCCAATTTCTTATCCTCCCGGCCCTCAAAGTGTGTCGGGACTATCGGTGTAAAATTCGGGAGTTTTCGATATCTTCTATTCGCCCATAGACTATTTAGTCCGAACTCGTCACCAGTGGTAGTATTGTAAGATTACGATTCTTCAACTACACAAATGCTTTTGGTTGCCTCGATGGAGAGTGCTGCTCAGCCCATTTTACCACCAGATACCCTGAGAATGTTGAAACTAACCTCTTACAGCGTGAGAAGTTCACATACTGCAATGATCAAAAGTCCTCTCCAACCCCTAAATACCGTAGTTACTCAGAGTAACACATTGAAGTTTGGATAATATGTAGTTTTTGGCAATCNGATATTTTCTATTCGCCCATAGACTATTTAGTTCGAACTCGTCACCAGTGGTAGTATTGTACGATTACGATTCTTCAACTACACAAATGCTTTTGGTTGCCTCGATGGAGAGTGCTGCTCAGCCCATTTTACCACCAGATACCCTGAGAATGTTGAAACTAACCTCTTACAGCGTGAGAAGTTCACATATTGCAATGATCAAAAGTCCTCTCCAACCCATAAATGCCGTAGTTACTCAGAGTAACACATTGAAGTTTGAATAATATGTAGTTTTTGGTAATCTTTCGCTATCGTTTGGAACCTCCTCTGTTTTCCCTACAAGATCAAGATTTAGAATTTGTTTTGGGATGGACTACTTCATTTTTCATCACTGGTTCTGCGTTTGTCCCGCTCACTCGGTAATTGCAATTCTTTATACTTTGATTTTGCAGTGCGCCGTTTGCTTTAAATTCATATTTATATGCTTGGTTAGTACTGCATTTACTCTGCTAAAATTGGAAGGACTGATAAGATCAGCAGATATCATAAAGCAGAGATCATAAAGATCATAAAGCACACTTTCTCTTGCAGTCAACAATTTCAAGGAAAGCTCTTCGGTAACAGTATGATTGTATCCGTGTACAACTGCCCAACACTGACCACCGGTAGTACCAAAGCGATGTCAGCCCTTTTAGGAAGGGGGTGCTCCTTAAAACTTCACAGAAATTTCCTTACTAAGATGATCCAAAATGTATCCACGAATAAAACAGTCTTCACTGTGTAACCAGAAGAAAACAAAGCCACCATATCCGAGGCTGAGGAATTCTGTACTTCTCAACACCCTGGGACAAGGTATTGTACTTTATTCAGTAGGACACTTGGAACAGAAACTCAGTTCGGCCAATAGTGACTCATCAGCAGTGTGACTAGCTCTCACTTAGACAGTACATTGCGCCACCCGCCCTTCATTCTCAGAAACCACATCATCACGGTCACGATTTGATTGGCTCCCCGAATGACGGCTTCTCAGAAGGTAGTTTTATTCATCATTCTAAGTGGAAGCTAGTCACACCATCGTGTGGTCATGTCCGAACGGCCAATTATTGACCCACTGCTCGGAATGTCACGTTACAAAACTCTCTGAGTCCCATGAGGTGCTCACTGTTTATGATTCTCAACACGGATGAAGCAGCCGCAAATTGTTCTTCAGCATGGATTGTCTTCACTGATATGACGAAATTCCCATTGAAAATGGAGTGGGTGAAACTTCGATCGGTCAGTTGCAGTAATTCACATCAATCCAACTATAATAACCTGCACTTTTGAAGTGTTGACTACTTCGGTGGTTATCGTGGCCCACGCAGACCTTGAGCTTTGTGTAATACTCCTAGGCTGAATTGCAACAAACCTTTTGGTTGGCGCTAGTAAGCTGTGCCAGTGCATTTTCTGTTTCTGGTACACTGTTAAATGAGTTATTGGTCTTCACTACACACCTTTGTCGGGTTGCTGTTGCGCACGTAATCGTTTGTTGTGTACATCTGGCATTTCTTTATCACAAATCTACAATCCAAAAAGATTGACACGGCTGCGACGGACTGGCACTCAAAAACGGTCTTCACCAAGTACTAGTCAAGGTTACTAATAAGTTTATATTCCAGTTCTAGCTGGGCTTTAGGAGCGTGACTACCAGTTGGAACAGGGAACCTACCGTGATAAACTTATTGCTGTTATATTCTGTAACAGAGTGAAAGTAAGTCAATCTTTATTTCCACAAGTCCCTGAAACCAAATCGAAAAGTGGTAAAATTCTAATATATATCTCAATCTACAACAAAAAAAGCAGCTCACCATTATGAATTACACTTTGGTGCACATCAAAAGGGCTCAAAATCCCCAACCGGATTAATAATTTTCAACCGACATTACCGTTACGATCAGTGACAGCAACATCAGACAAGAACACTGGTGCTTTACCGCCGTAAAACCATGTCGCTCCGGATAAAGTTTTTACGAAAAGAAAGAAAATTGGAGGGGGGACTTGGGTCTACCCTACCACGAAAATCCGAGGTGCCTACACCTCCAAAACCTTGTCAGATGATCTGGATAGAAATTGACAGAATGAACACCACTGAAATCGGTTACGGTTAAGTGTTTCCAGCCAAGCACAGAGAGGGCTATAGACCTTATCCCGAAAGGCGAGCACTACCAACGGCACCTAAAAGTTCCGTATAACCCATCATTCTATTGTGCTATGTCGAATTCTGTTTGCCACTCAAAATTCAGCACGGAAAACAAAGCTGATCTTAGCGTGCGTAATACAGCCGAGCTTACAGTGATGGATGAATTCTTTGAGTAATGCATCCAGTGATTCGCCGTAAAGCCGTATTCCGATCACTTCCTTCCGAGTTCGTTAATTTCAGACGACACCAAGCATAGTTCTGAGACATTGATGATCAAAGGTCTAAAGATGTATCGGATACCACCGGTTTATTGCTAAAGGGTGCTGCCGGAACACCTGACTGCTTTTCACCTGATAACTGTGAATGAGTTCACCGTTATTTTGGTGTTTGAGAACGCATAATATTTCCGCTCCACTTACTTTCTTGTACAGTTCGTAATCGACCTCCCATTGGACGCGAATCCATCCGGTGACAGCGTCTAGTTTAAACATACGCATGAACTCTGGTTTCGTGAGTGGGCTGAAGCGGTACTTGATCCGACCATTCACACCTTCGTCATCGTCCAATGCAGTAACCTGAGGCCAACGAAAAATTGAAATAACTGCTCGCAAAAAATCGTAAATCTAAGTAAAAGCGGAGGAATATCCAAACTCAACAAAACTGGCTTTGTTTTTATCCGGTTCTGGCACTCCACTGTTCATTGGATGGTATCAATGAAATCCGTAAATTTTCAAGCTATTGCATAATTTTATTGCCTGCCTGACGCCAAAAGCTTACCGTTGGTTTTTATATGCTGGACAGACGACTACATTTGAAAAAGCCCAACAGGGAACAGGTTAAATTTAGGACTATGATTACCTTACTTATTGGATATTTTCTCAGATGACTGGTAATAATCTGGAGTTTCAGTGGGCAGCTGATGCACTAACACGGCCACCGTGGGAAGACAGTGAAAGGATAACTCAACAGCTAACGGAATTGATCCGTATTCTGCATTCCGAAAAGTGTACACAACACGTTTGCACAAATAGTAATTCCAGGTGTTGGTTATCACCGTATTAAGGTCATCTGGATCCTGTGTGTTAAAACAAATTTAAATTCAGTGCCATTACGCTTTATTCACGAACCACCTAGATTGAGAAAGTTGAAATTCAGGCTGCCGGCTAGCCAGTATGAACCATTATATGCGGCCGTTTAATAAAATGTCCTTTCTAAGTAAGTTGTTATCGTTTTGGAAAATTAGACCTTTCCAAGTCAGCTAAAAGTAGTTAAACATTACAATTTACTCTGCAGTCGCTTACTTGACGTTCAAATTACCATCTGACTTATGCGCTGACGAAAACGACCACCTGATAACTCAATTATGCTAGTGAAGCATTTCACCGGATTTAGAAAACCCTGGCTTATATTGGCCCTGGTTGTATCTTTTTACCACCAGAGGAAGTAAATCCAGTTTATTTCCGTCTAACCTATGGACAAGAAAGGAAGGAAAAGATGTAGCAAACTTTTCATTCTGTTTTACAAACGTCAGGCCTCTGTGACTGTTCAAAACTGGTTGCAGTTTTCATTAGCCTGGATGATGCGTACACACATTTTCATTTGTCCTTCTCTGTTAATCACCGTGACCCTAATTTCCTACCTTATTTTCTCAGATGCACCAGAGTGTTTCTCAACAAACTGGGGAATTACTTTTGACTTACATACCCCATTTTGATCCTTTATTCAATCAAAATCACGTCTCCAGCACAAAGCTAGGCAGAAATAAACGGCACCACATTTGCTAGTTGAATCGCATGACTGACCAGTCTGATCGTCTCAGGATAAACACTCTTCCACGAGGAGATACCTTGTGCCGAGCCACTTGCTAACGCTGAGTAATAATGGAGCATGTATATACGTGAGTGCTCAGTAAACATCACTGTGGGGCCTACAAGACAAAATGACTTGATCATCATTTTGCCCCATTACACAGCACCATGATGACTAGCTCTTTCTGCCTCACCACCAAAATCTCAGTGCAGTCTGATGAAAATGAAGTTTGTGCAGAAATAATGTCGACGAAATTGGGACCATAGATAATTTCCTCGGCTCGTGGCTAGGAAACTGTAAAAAATATGGAATTCTGTATTAGTTTCGCGGCATGAGTGCAAACGGTACTTTGTGGAGTGAGAACTTGGTAAAATTTTGGTCAAAATGGGAAGCACACCGATAACCACAGAACTGATACTGAGGCTTGAACACTTAGGGTGGCGTAAAAAATTGTTAGGTAATAAAGTCCTATTATTTCTCTAAAAATGGGGAAGAGGTAGAATTAGGTTTCGTTTTGTCAGTAAAACCTTAGTTCGAAACTGATGCTCTTCTAGTGTATCGAGCCAACATTGAGGATCCACGCAACCCCATGAATAGATTTAGATTACTGACCCCACGAACGAGTAATGATGAAAACAAACGTGGTAACTCTAACCACGGGGACTTCATAGTGGGATATCGGTTAGACGAAATCTCATTGGTCACATAAAGGTCATAAAACAAATGAGATGGGCTAGAAATTAATTTGTCGTGGCCTGCAACCTTCTTATTTTACGACAATAGCAAGGGAGCAGCTGTGAACAACACGTCGGTGACATTTCATATGTGGCCTTTGGCACAGTGTTTTTGAGCAGAAGATAATTTTCACTCAGAGGTAGGACGTATGTGACATTTTGTAAATTATATCATTCACAAAATTCGTTTTTCGTCTAATTCATTTCCATATGATGATAGACTTATGATAATGAATGTTGCAGTAAGTCTCATTCCCCTGAGGTATTAATTACAGCTCAACTAACTTCCATGAACAACTTTTGACCTTAGAATTTGTCTCAGTCTAGGTTGAACGTCGGAGTTGCGACAATGTAGCCCGACAAGCTTACTTGGACTAACGATCAAAAACCTCGTAGGGACCGCACTGTCGTGGCTCTGCAAACCTAAAGATGATATGGTTCCCAATTCCGGTAATTTAGGTCGGAGGGACCAACCATCGTTTTTCCTGTTGTTTTTTCTGCTTGGCTAAGACGTGAGAGAACAGCGTTTGTTTCTGGCTACTAATTATACGTTGACTTGGTCCTGCTGACTAACAGATTGGCCTTCGTAGCATCAGTATGGTCGTATACCTCTTCTGCAGCCTGGTCAATCACACGGCTAGTGAAAAGGAGTCAATGGCCATTGATGTATTGGTTCAAGAGGAATTGATGTACGCGTCGAATTATCTGTTGCAAACAATCCGTCTAGTTCCACCACCATGAGACCTACCGCTGAACACGTGATAACTCTCTCATCCGGGGATTACTTCGGGGTGAGTGCCGTGAAGAGGCCCATCAGGATTTTTTCTTGCTCATCATACTACTTGTGTTCCTTCAGTAGTGAAAATATTTTTCGGCATCAACTGCAACATGGCCCGACAAGGCGAAATCAACTGGTTGGAATTCCTACCCGAATGATTGTGCTCTAATCGATATGTGCTTTTCTCAATAAGTCATTCTCATTTTAAATGAAGGGAAACCATCCTTATCACCTATGGTAAAATCGTTCTGCCTACTTTATGGAAACACTGACCTCGACCAACTGTGTTACACTAGCTCACCTGTACAACCGACGTGTGTGGCTTTGAATTTTCCATGAGTTCAACCGTATATGTATCCTTTTGAAACCTGGGAGAATTATCATTTGCGTCGGTCACTATAACCTTCAGTGGTGTGGAGGCGTTCCGACTCGGTGAGCCACCGTCGAAGGCAGTTACAGTCAAATCGTAGAAAGGGCACTGTTCCCGATCCAAGAGTTTCTTGACCACCAAGCGTAGTTCATGTCTTGCACCGAGATACTGTGATTCTCCGTGAGTAAACAAATGTTGTTCATCCGTATACAGCCGGCCAATCAACTCACTGTCCGTGGTCCACTTCAAGTCAAATTCGGGGACTTCGGGTTTAAGGGTATATCGAACGATGCCGTTTAGTCCTGCATCAGCATCGTAAGCTGACGGGAGATTTGTCGAATCCCCAATGAGACTGTTTTCTGATAAATGCACAGTGATGCCATGCTAGGGGTTTGAAGAAGGAGTGGAGTGGAAAGTTCGTCATCCAAAATAAAAATACAAACCAAACCACATTTATCCTCAAGAATCGAAGTTTCGAAATATGGCAAGGCGACCAAGCGCAGAATCTCTGAATACATCGATTACATAGTTCCAGCCAGATGATTTTGTTGATTTATCTACCCGAAAAAACCAAACCACTAGACAAATACACCAAAGTCTGAATAGTACATATTTCGTACAGGAGAATAACTAAACAGGATCTATGGGGAAGATCACTCTTCAGAAATGTGAGAAGTAAATCGATACTTGTTCATTATCCATCGTTCTGAAGATGCGTGAGCAGATAAAAATATTTTATGGATGGACACTTATCTCGAACTGGCTCACAAAAGCTACTCTATTGCTAGTGATACAAGGATGCCGTTGAAGTGGATTACAAACCAACAGAAGAACGGTCGGACACGCTGAAGGAGTCGCGCACCAAGAACTGGCCAATTTACCTAGACATATGTTAAGACCAGTGAAAACGAGACCACATACAACTGTATATGGAGGCGTACACAAGTGTGTAGCACTTAGTAGATCACACATGGAAGAAACCTGTCCCACAAACACGCTTCTTGTCCATCCCTTTAGTTGGCGTTTCCAGGTCAAGAATTTGAGGTTAGTGGAAAATTGGCAACATACTAAGCCTGCAACATACGACTTACAGGGCTATTACTTCACACTTCGTCGAAGTATCTCTGTTTACAGCAAATTCTCCAATCAGATTAAATCATTTCCGAATGTTGTCATTTGCACACGAATTTAGTTATGACTGGAGGATTAATTGAATACAGCTGATCCCCTCGTTTACAATGGTCTTCCATCCAATTTGGGTTCATTAAGAACAAAAGGCTGATGGAAACTCTGGGGCCACAAAAAGTGCAGGACGAGTGTTTGGCTGACGAGCGGATTTTGGGCGACCCTGTGAGTAGCGTGTTACATCAGGATTGCATGATGAGTAATCACTCGGCAAGAGGTTAGTTGAAAATCTCGTCCACGCAGAAGCCTTCAGCGGGTTCGAAATGATTTCGGAACTCAGTAGAATAACGTAACGCATAATGCAATTGGTTTTGAGTTTCACACATTTCCACCAAGCTGATTTAAAAAAATAGCGCATTCCAAATCGCATAGGTTCAAACCTGCTACTCTAATTTTGTTTTAAACTGGTTACGTGGCAACAACCGTTGGTGTCACTTCTCGATATTACGACTGACGTCCATAGTTTTTAGCCATCATAATCACTTTGATACCGATAACGAAAAAAATATCAGGCTACTCTCTGTTCCATTGAATCGTTCAAGCCCTTTTGATTACATTTGTTTTATTAATCAGCTAGGCAGTATTTCACCTAATGCTGATACCCTAAAATCGATATGGCATGAAACGTGACACTGCATCTGTTAGTGTTTTGTCTAGTTTACAACGATAACCCGTCCACCATAACACATTCTGAAAGGTCCAAGTCCATTAAGACGAGAAGATTCACTGTGGGTTACTGAAACCGAGTTCACGTTAGTTTGGCGATGAAAGGTGTCTGATTTATAACTGGTTGTCTACTAGGGTCAATGTTAACCATTGCGGAAGGTCATGATGTAATACAAGACTCATTCATTCGAGCATATAACCCCGTAATTGAAGTCAATCCGTGCCAGGAAGCCAAAGGGTACTGTACAGATTTTTCACACCCATTTGAAATAACCAGTAGTGTGCATCTTACCACCTTTCACCCAGAAGATTCAAACTCGAGCCCTTCAGATAGCGGCCACGAGCGGACGATAGGTGGGATATAGCAGCAATGATGCTTAAACTATGGAGCTCACGTCACGTGGTCATATGTTGGAAGTTCCATTCAACTGAAGTATTCTAAATGTTTTCTACATATAGAAAAATATCCACTCTTCATTTGCGTTACGTCATCATACGCTTGCTAATGATGTCAGTCCTATTAAACCACAGTTCCGTCTCCAATGACGCATCCATTTGGATGAAAAGTATCCTCAACCAGCCCGTCTTGAATGCAGAAAATATCCAGTGGCATATTTGTGCTTTGTGATAACGAACACTGTACGGTATCTGAAAAGAACGCTCGCTGGTTGTTATGGGAAACCTGGCGAAACTTCATCAAACCTAATTAAATCATCATACACACGAGTAGGAGATGCAGAATAACCAGAGCATAGGTATCAGGCTGAATCTCATGGTTACCAACATGGACAAGTCGAAATAATACTAACAAAGCAAACATACAATCATGACAGTTTTCCGGAATGACAGCACGACAGAATTTGGGGAGAGGTGTCCTCGGTAATGGTGAATGATTTTTCTGGATAGATTTTGGTGCTTGTTTTGCGAATACTGTGTGTGGAGAATACTGTGTGTGAATAGATGTTTAATTCCAGAAAATTTTCAGCTAGAGTAGGGACACGGGTGAAACGAAGAAATGCACTGGACAAGAGTTTTCCAAATTATGCACTCACTCATTTACACAATAGATATAAGAAAACAAATACGAAAGGAATAATAAAGAACGTTTGCTGCCGCTTTGTAGGATGCCGATAGGCATTCGTAACAAAAATCCGTTGCGTCTATCTAATTCCACTGTTCTTCACACAGGTTTCTGCCTTCAAAATTTGGGGATCAAACAGAACGGTCAAGACTGATAATAATATGATAATACTGATGATACAAGACTGATTTGCTCTCGTCTATATCCAACCTTGCCGATATTTTCAAAACAATATAGCATCACAGACCAAAAGCTTGAATCAAAACCGCCCTAATACTTTGTGCCATCTTCCCCAAAAGTCTCCAGATTTGCCAATCACAGGCTGTGCACGCCCTGTCTGAGACAGTTTCAAATCATTCAGTAAAACGTTATAACAGCTATCAACCTATAATTTGACTCAGTTTGTAAGTCCTATCGCTTTTCTGCGAAGAACTTTGCAAAAAGGAGGGTCGACTGGTTTCAATATGTCATTGCCCACCTGCCTGTTTGGCTATCAGCGTGTTTGTGTGCGATTTACTCATCTCAGTTTCGATTTCGTAAGATCCCATTGAACTGGGTCTGGATCACCCGAACAAAAGACAGAAAAAGGACTAGTCAGACTGAGAGGAGCTCCAAGCCAACGGCAGTCGAGATAAAACTTGAGACAATATCGATTTCATATACAGAGGTCTGTCAAGGTGTTTTGAACAGAAAATTCGTTAACGTAGGACGAAATACATAAGTACAGATCTCGGAAAATTGACATATTCAGAAATGGCCCTTTCGTCTGCGTTACCGCTGTTCCACTTGTGTTTAAGCTTCTTCCTCCTTCAACCACCACAATGCAGAGTGGATCCAACTAAAGCTTGTGGCCAAAATGTTTTTCCAAAATTTCCTTCTCTCAGCTGAAGCTCCAGACATGTCTTGGGAGGATTCAAGACTCTACTAGCGAAACATTTGGAATCAGCCCGAAATTCTGACACCAGTTATGCTGGATGCGTCGATCATGTGCTGAAATTTGGACTCGTGGTTCTCCAAATTTGCTCTCTCTTTGGGACATCTGGGCTCGTTTATTGTTCTCCGCACAGCAAGATGGTTACAGCTCGCTTCACATCCTTAAATTACTTAACCTTTTCCGTGGTAACCAATGTGTTTTTCCCACCCTACACCCATTTGCGATGTCTCTGTAGGGAGTTGGTCCCATTTATTTCGCCGTTAAAATATGACGTGCCATTTCCAACGAGTGTGTATAAGAAGATCCTTCTGTGATTCGAATCAACTCTAGATTGTTCGACCTCCGGAAGAAAGCTCAGGCTCTGAGTACAGCTCTGATGAGATGATCGATGTAGAATCTAACCACCGACGAACGTTGCACTTCTCATAGGTAGACAACAGACTAAGAATCTGTTTTTCTTGCCACGCGAATGCCTTCATCCGAATTTACGTAACAGTGGGAGCGTACATTCCTGCTGTCCAGAATTGATACATTTACATTTTATTTGAATTTTACCTGCCTGGCTCTCCATTCTGATAAGGAAGCACAGAGTTTGCACCAGTTCTAAAATTACTGGAACCATCACACTGGATCCGGAGAGCACGTCGCACTTTGGAAACTTCTTGTATGTCTTTCATCAATAACAATGAAAAAGATGTTAGATTTTTCACGGGATACTTGATGAAACCTAAGTAATTGTGGTCCACATACGGTTAAGTGAGATTTACTCTTGGTTTTTAGAATTCTCTCTCTCTGAGGTGGAACACCGTAATTAATGAAGCGAAACAGAAGGACGCCCACCTGAAGGACAGTTTGTGCCCTTTTTCAGCTGAATGAAAATAGGGCCATAAAAGCATTTTATACCCCACTGAAAACATTCACCAGGTGTGAGCATTATTTGTGATGCTCTCGAAAAAATGCTTTCATTCATAAAGATAGTTCTTGACATTTGTGGAAGAGTAGGTCCTGTTTATAAGTACCCTTCTGGGAAATCTTTGTTCTAGTTCCTGATATTCTGACTTGTAACTTTGCGAAGATACGCAACGACATATTAACACTTCTTCCGTGTTGCTGGTGTTATAAAAGCATATGAGATCAGTTAGCGGTGATATGTATATTCGAAGCAGTGGCTACGTGGGCATCCGAAAATACCTGAGTTATTTCGGAAGGCAAAACGAGCAAATATAAATAGGATACTTTAACAGCAAAGCACAAAGGTCACTGAAATCATTCACCCTTTTCAGTCATCTCAATTTATTATTTTAAAAAAAACCATAAACTATTTCCTTTTGCTCAAGGGGCTCTCGAGAAACCTTTGAAAATGCCTTACGCTTAAAGGTGAATCCTGGGTTTTCGTGAACGTACACCAATTATAATTTTAAACATGCTATTCAACCAGTTTGAGAGTAGTTCGACCTAGATTTATCGGTATTTCTGTTCGATTTCAACTGTGTTTGGGGTACGGAAGACTCCACCTCAGTTCAGGGTTAAATTGGTCGGTATGCCAAGACTTCCTTGTACCCTGTTGGCCTATGGAGTTATCCTTATTGTTGTCTTGTTTGGCTGAAAGATGCAGAGGCGGGCTCAGTGATTGACCGACAAGAGCGTTTTGCCTACGATGCCGGGATCAAATGTGGAGATTGCAGTCGTTCTGTCCGAATATATTTTTGCATGCAGGTTATTGCTAGACGTTTAGCACACGAACTGACAAGCCGAGAATTGTGACGAGCATCAGGCTCCGGAGGACCGAGGCATATGCTGGCACAACAACAACAACTGTGAAAGCTCTGATTAGAAGGCAGTTTTTTGAACGGCTTCAAAAGTGTCTGGGGGCGTTTGAGCGAAAGGAATCCAAACTCAACGATCCAGAGGTTATGTGTGGAGGGATTTTCTCGATTCGGACCTGTTTTCAAAACACCACTGCATTTTTCTTCATCCACGAAAAACAGCAGCTGACTGCATTCTGTGAGAAAGCACGTACTGCAGGCGCAAACTGAGATCTCGTCACTGTAAACAGTTATTTCACCAACATGGCTCGGAACCTACGCCAGAACAAAACGATTTTTATGAGATCGGTTACCAAAAATCACAAGAGACGGAAAATAAACTTGTGGAAACCTAATTGGTGCAAATTAGGAGGACAACTTTTTATAAAACGCCACCAGTAAGACGTAATTGTCATCTCATCCAAAGTACAACAAACACGCCATTTCGCACCACAATCTGTGTAGATATTGCACTGAAGTTTCGCAGTATTCTTGCCATACTCAGTATATCAACAGCTGTTCGTCTTATAACTTTTTCTGAACAGCTGACTATTTTCAAGAATCGTGGCAAAGATTAACGCTTCTGGGTTCCTTTGAAGCTATCCAGGAATTTCCACCTAGGCTGATACAAAAAGTCCCTAAAACATGTCTGTGACTTCGCCTTGTTTTTTGTTCCCTTGTTATAAAAGTTCCCAGACTGACTATATGAAGAAAAGTTGGACTTTGAAGGTTGTGCTTCCCGATATTTTGTAGTGCGGATTAGTTTTGGCTAACTATCTAGGTTAATGGTTCGTCTTCCCGGCGTTTTAAATGGCGCGCCGGAAGATCTTTTCTATATTCCATTCACTGTGCTACAGCCCAGGTTTTGATACGAATTTTGAAGATCTTTATAGGAGCATACAAATATATTTTCCGCGCACTTTAAAAGCTTTCAGAGACAGTTAAGGTTATATAGTTATCTTGTTGCGCACAGGAGGTAGTTTCAACCTGGACAAATGGACCACTTAGGGATGGTCAACATCCTTTTTTGCTGATGATGGTTTCTGTGAATGTCCGCATCTGGTACTAAGCTTTTGCTTGAAAGGCTAGGGTCAAGTCTTTAATACTGGAAATCATCCACAACCAGTTGAAGTTTGCCCAGCAGTTTTGAAGAAGTATGGCATTACTTAGCTGGGTTCCTATCAGGTGACTGGCATCCCTTAGAGGAACAACTTGAGGAAGTTAAAGTCAGACTCAGGGTCTGAACCGAAAGGAGGTGGTGAGCAGCTTTCTGATAATGCAGTAAAGTCAAAATTACAACATGCCTGTATGCACGAGTTTAAAACGGATAACTCAAAAACCCAGGTTGTTCTGTGGGAGAACACGAATCAGTTACCTGTCCGTTTTGTTCTTCACTTCCACCCTTCAAATCCGCAGCATGTGGCCAGACTGGAGCGTTGTCGTTGACATCGACTATGTGCACATGTACCAAGATAATATTTGAGTACTGATCGTCTGAGCGTATATTCAAATCTAATCGACACTCTGGTAGGAACTGTCCAGTAACATCCTCCCCCGCTACGTTTGCTGGAGGGTCAGACGAGTCCAATTCTATCGAAAGACTATCTTCTGCACTTCGAGGACAGCAACTATGGAAAACTGGACACAGTTGGTCTCGATCAATTCTCCGAGCAATACGAAGCCTGCCAGATGTAGGATCTAGTTGAAAGTAAGTAGATTGTGGCTCACTGTTGAATATTTGGAAATTGTCAATGTGTTTTGCACTCCTATTAGGAAAGCCCTTTGCATTTTCTGACCAACCATTGATCAGAAATCGCAAGTTGGCCACTTCTTGTCCTTCAGGCTCTTCCTCGGATATTTGGACACGTAATTTCCGCAACCCAGGAATCGAGGATCGTCGGGGAGAGTCCAAAATTAGTGGCTTGTTTGTCTGGGGTGTCAGCATGGTGCAACGAGCTATGATGGACGCGAACGAGACGATAACTACAGACTGGATGGCATTCATCACACCAGCTGACGACAGTGTGATTAGGCTACCTTGTGAATCACTTTCTTTTTACGCGTTCTGAAAAAAAGAGGACGAGTTGACTATACTGGTTGAAGTGTTGTGGTGATATCATAGAATACCGAAATTCCACCAGCCCACTTAGAAGCTTGGGCCAACACAATTAGTCACCCAAAAAGAAACGTGCGACAGGAACAGCGCACAAAAATTAACATTATTCTGCAATTTGTAGAAAAGGATAATGAAATAACACAATCCCCAGTAAGAACAAAACCATCGCGGTATGGTAATGATCACGTGGATAAATGTCTTTCACCCCGAATTCCGTGACAATTCTGTTCTAGTTCGCTTACAATTTCTCGCCATGTTATCTCCGAGAAATAAAAACTAGCCGATATCGGGGACGGAAGTTTCTGCAGCCCATGTTACCTACCATTTTTACCTGCAGTTGCAGCGACACTTACACTGATAGAACAAACGGCTTTCTTTCCGATGGCAGGTCTCAATACACACTGAAATTTCTGGCATGCAAGATGGCACGATATGCACCTGGCTGATAACATACGACCCGAGACCCAATACCGTCGTCTGCAAGACTCGTGCTGAACCACACAGGTAAGTTCGTTAACACCAACCACATGGTCATTTTATCCCTGTCTTACGCAACCTAAGACTTTGGATGTCAGAAAGTGATGACCAGAATGATTAAGCCCTTGCTATGTGCGCAAAGAGTATTGGCCTACCCTGGCAGCAACCTCGGACTACCACTCATCAATTTGGATGTCTTCAGGTGCTATCTTAAAGCTTTAAAAATGAATCCCTATGCTATGCGTTGACTACCATTTGTGATTGATGCCTCCTCACGGTTTGGACTAAGCGAATTAAAAGGCCCAATGCGTTTGACTTTGAAAACATCAGCTTACACTTTCAGGACTGTGCTATATTCAGGTAGTACACCAGTTCAATCAGGGTCAGGGTCTACCCCTCAGTCTCTATAAGCAAACGAGAATCCAAACATTTTCAGCAAGATTTTTGTCCCATTTTCCGAGCCGAAGAAAAGAAATATATGCCATCCCAATTATTTCGACTTATTCGCAAGCAACAGATTGTTTTACCTGGGTTTTGAAACATGATTGTCTTGATTACCCCAATACTATTAACAGATGGCTGAATTCTCTTCGACAGCCTGCAATCAACTCGCATTTGTTGTTCCTGCGCACTGCTTCAATGTCAAGTACTCTGGTTTTACTTGTTTTCAATCTCCTTTCAATCAAAAAGAGGTGATTTAACTGCATAAGAAGAATACCAATGAATTATTCCGTTTAATGCTGACAAAGTCGTCTGGATGGCAGCCATAAACCATAATCGACGCTTCCCACCTCCTGCTGCAGTCTCTTTTAAACTTATGTACGTAACGTCTCCCTTCTCAATAAACCTGAATTATCAGCCTTGATTTGTACCCATTCCTGGCCCGAAATTGTTTGGACAGTTTTTTTGCAAAGGAGTGTCCGTAAATTGAAGAACGCTGCTGTCCTTAACAGTTAGCCTCAAGTTTCGCAACAGTCTGTGACTTGTACAAGGAGTGGTGACAGCTCACATCTCAGTCTTCTTTGAAGATAATAGAATAAATTCGAGCTGAGAAGTGAGGAAAAGAGACGCATGCCATTTGTGTAACCAGTAGTTTCACGAATGTTTGCGGTATACCTACACCGTGCCGAGAAAGACAAGATTTGGCAAATTTTATCCCAAACCAGCGGAAATTTTTTTTACATAAATACCCGCCTTGTAGAGTATTTTCTGCCAACTTGCACTCCGTCGGTCAAATAATGTGATAACATTACTGAGCGTTTGGAAAGGTTGATGGACTCCTCAATTGAGATTTTGTCCTGTAAGTGAAGCCAGTATGTGTCTCTATTTAGAACCATCAACGGTGCGCTTCTCACAAAACTCAAATGAGTCCTGAATTCGCAAGTTCCCGGCTAAGAGTTGGAACCTTTATCCTCCCGGCCACAAGAGGATGATTAGCAGGTTCACCCTGCGAGTTTCGAGCTCCTCTACAGGACGTTCACTTGTTGCGCATGGCTGATAGTTTACAATAAGAATAAAATGGCCGTATAGTGCTACAGGCTTCTCGACATAGCTAGGCTAGCTAGGGACCAAGAATTCGAATGAATAATCTCACATAAATTCAGTCTTACATTCATCCAAATCGGACACGAGAAACACTCCATCTGGTAGCTGCCAACCAATTTTCAGATGTTCACTAATGAGATCTCTTTTATCGCGTAAATAAGTGAGAGCAACACTGGCATTTGCGTTAGTTACATCGTTTTACTGAGAACTAAGCAAGCCAGACGCTATCCGTTTAGTTCCTGTTTATAGATGTTAAATTTAAGAAGATCGGGTTTTTGGATTTATCATCATTCCAAATTCCAAGACCCGGTTATCGTAACGCGTCTGTGAGAAGTTGGATGCCTAAGCAGGAGGAGCATATGAAATAATAGTTTATTCGGCCTACTAAATTACTTGTGGATCTACTCTCTGTGCTTTGGGTTGAGCTGTGAGCGGACATTCTTACCTTAAAATGATACCGCATTCTGAAGAAGACAGTTACAATAGGACAGAAAGGGATTAGTGCATGAATTTCGGTGAAGGGATGTGCTATAAGGAATTTATACACTCAGTCGGAATTGTTATGCTGCAAAGTTTTAGTGTCATCCAGTAGGCGTGAAGGTTCTCGATTTGCTGGCTCTGCAGCTTTGTGATGAAAGTCCTGAACGCACTAGAAGACAACATAAGTGAATACTACCTGCATTTTTCGTACTTTTAATCAGTCACAGGTCATGGCTTAATGCGCCGTTGGCGGGAACATTGGGGCTTAAGCAGTCAACAGCACACACGGTCTCCGTTCTGTTAATGATCCTTGTGAACAAGAAATCCCGATGTTGTCGGATCGACTGTAAATCAGCTTCAAAATTTGGCAGACAACCCGCGTACCAGCAGTTGATGTATTGACTAAACGCCAAATGTTTTCTAGAAAGATGGCAAATAACAATATGCTTTACAAAAATTAATTGTTCGATCAATTAGTTTGCTTAGTAGCAGGGTCCAGCGAACAATTTCCTTGTATAGTTTAGGATGATATTTGCTTCTCGCCCCTGGTCTTGAATTTCCTCTTGGTTTGAATCTGTGTAAAGCACAGTCGGACGCCTCTGTATTCTGAACTAATTGGATTTACTGGAACTATCGTAACTGATTAAAATTTGTCTCAGGCGCTGTATCACTCGCGTTTGCCACAGAACCCGCATTGTTCTTGGTTCCCGGTTTTGAGTTACAAAACCGGCCCCACCGAACACAACCGGTTGCGCACAGCAAAATTAATCATTCGGGACTGAACCTGGTAAGATTTCCGTCCATTTAATTTTTTCTTTTATTCTGTGAAATATAAACGTTTTTCACACTGCAAATGAATCTGGGTCGGCTAGAACTCTATTCGTAAATTTCGAATACCCCCATCTTAGTTTCGTATGTTGCGTAAATCTGCAGACACATCTGTTTCAAATCAGAATGATAGAATGCAGGTGCAACAAACTGCTACCCAACCTATAGACTGCACGCTTGAAGGCAAACAGGGGAAGGTTTTGTGCTGACAGTATGAGGGTACCAACCGTTTTGGTAGCTTTGCCAGCTAGGCGGCGAGCCTATGTCGATGCAACCAGAAACGATGGATGTAAGTATACATATGTCTCACCCGATGATTTGACCTTGCACAGACGAACTTTAGACGCCCTTCCTTCAGTAGTAAGCCATTCATCAACAGTACACAGAGTATGAACCAAGTGGCTTAGAAATACGGCACCGCTAGCCTTCCAACTGTGAACTGACCTATAACAACATATGATAATTTAACAATTCGCTGGAATTTCGTCTTGCAAGTGAAGTTAATTTTGAGGAACCTCATAAAAGATTGTAAGTTACACTAGGTTTGACGACCCCGAATGTTTAAAAGACGATTCGAAAGTCTACGGTACTATTTACAGTTGTTCAAGTTCCTGGAGTCAGTCAATGACCTGCACAGTGCAGTGTCAAGGTCCGCGCACCAGACAAGGGCGAGCGGAATGCTTGCTTGATAGCGAGGCCAGGCTGGTGATTACGATTGGCGGTGCGAACACACGGAAGTTACGGCGGTGAAAGAACAGGCCTAGGAGGCGGGCACAGAGCGCACAGTAAGTAGATCAGTGACACACGTGCTGGTATACCGGTGTCGGTCAGGGTGGCCTTTGCGGCAACGCGAACAGCAGCTACACAGGGACAAGCACGTGGAGATTAAAAGAGCACAGGCGAAGTAGGCAAATGAATGGGTGAATCAACGTGATGTCTAGTTGGACTCAATATTTAATCAACGACCGAAAGCCAAGAAGCACTGGGAATCATCAGCAGCCCGTAGCTAACCAATCTCTGGAGGGATTCTCTCTCGCATTTCCTGGCTTGTAACAGAAGACTAAAGATTCTGTCCACGAGCGGCTACGATGGAACATGGTGCCACTCCGTTTACATAAGTTGAAAAAACCTAACAATTGTTTCTACCTTATCATAAACTGATAATTACAAACCGTACGGATGAGAGGTGCACATAAACAAAAATGCTCAAGTATAAGGTGCAAGCTGACAGCTAGTTTCAGTCGAGCGGTGACTATGCCATGATGACTACCAAACGCATAAAGCTCATCCATCAAGTATTTGGTTTTAAGTCGGTGTATAAGAAATACACAGCGAACGATAGAGCAACCTCTGACCAAGTGCTTAATAGCCTACAAGACAACTAGCTTTGGACAAAGGAACTGGACCACCCCAGTTGATGCCCTCCGAAAAGGCGGTCATTCTCGTGGTACGTTTCAAGTATGTGTCGATGTTGCTTACTGAGCTTTAGCTCACCTAATTTTTTGATATTCCATTGAAACAGTATAGAATCGCACGACAACAGTACTTGAATGGTGAGCTTACGTCCGCTACTTGAGTAGGACAGCCAAAGAAATACGCCCATTTGTACGCTTATTTGCTTCA